GTATGCCTGACCTCAGTGTTGTCATTTTCTGTAATGAGGATATCACCAACATAAATGAAAAGAAATATTCGGAATCCTTTGGTGCTCTTATAGAAAATTGAAGGATCAGCCACTGAATTATGAAAACCAAGCTGAGAAAGTGATCCTTTAATTTAGTGAACCAGGCTCTGGTTGCCTGCTTAAGGCCATAGATTGCCTTCTTTATTTTGCAAACTAAAGTTTTCTTGTCTTCAGCACAAACCTCAAAACCTGGTGGTTGTTTCATATAGACTGTTTCTTCCAATTCTCCATGAAGAAAAGCATTACTTACATCCAACTGATTTACCTTCAATGCATGCTCACAGCCAAAGAGAGAATAATCTTTATGGTAGTGGGCTTTACAACAGGACTGAAGGTTTCCCTAAAGTCAAAACCAGTTGTTTGACTGTAGCCTTGAGCTACCAATCTTGCTTTGAACTTGGAAATGGAGTTATCTGCATTTCTCTTCACCTTATATACCCATCTACTGCCCACTAAGTTGTAGCCATGAGGTAGTTGGACCAGATCCCAGGTTTTATTTCTGAGTAAAGCATTCCTCCTTTATAGCATTTTTCCATTTTGCATCCTTCAAGGCTTCAGATAGTGATGATGGATCAATATCAGAACCAATAAATGCATAAGCCTTAGGCTTGAAAATTCGCTTCTTGGACATGTTCATCATAGGATGTGAAGATGCATTAGTAACACCTGCTTCGTTAGTATGGTCATTGTGTTGATGAGATTCATTTACCATAATTGGCAGATCAACAAACAAAGGAATGGTAGAATGAGAAGTATCTGAATTGTTGGGAGTAGTGTGATGAGAGGAAGTAGTAGAAGGAAAAGAATGAGGTGAATTATGAGGTGAAGAACCTGATAAGTGAGGAGTTTGAGTTGGTTCAGTTGTGGTGTTGGTGGTTGGTTAAACATGAGCATTGTGGCAAAAGTGAGAGAAGTCTACAACACATGGTGACACATTTAGATCGACATGATTCTGAGGTGATACGGGAGTTGAGGTATCAAGTTTTTGCTTGTAAAAAAATTGAGTTTCATCAAATATGACATCTCTAGAATAATGGTTTTTCTTGAGGAAATAAGACCTTTATACCCTTTATGATAAGGACTGTAACCTATGAAAACTCCATTATCAGACCTAAACATGAGTTTATGCTTGTTATAGGGTCTGACCAAGGGATAACACAAACAGCCAAAGGCTTTAAGCATATAAAAATTTGGTTTCTGGCAATAGAGAACTTCAAGTGGACTTTTGTAGGACAATTTTTTAGATGGTATTTTGTTTATGAGATAACATGAAGTAACAAAAGCATCATCCCAAAATTTCATAGGTAATGAGGACTGAGCCAACAAGGAAAGTCCCATTTCAACAACATGTCTGTGTTTCCTCTCAGCAACTCCATTTTGCTGAGGGGTATGAGGACAAGAGAGTCTATGATGGATGCCATTGTCTTGGAAAAATTTAGTTAAGGATCTAAACTCACCCCCTCCCCCCNNNNCCCCAGTCTGTTTGGACACTTTTAATGGTTCTATTGAGTTGATTTTCTGCAAGAGCTTTGAAGTGAATGAAAGCACCAAATGTGTCAGATTTGTTTATTAAAAGGTAAAGCAATGTGAACCTACTGAAATGATCAATGATGGTCACGTAATATGAATAACCATTTCTGGATTTAACAGGTGAGGGCCCCCAAAAGTCTGAATGAACAAGTTTCAAAGGATGATCACAAGTAAAATCAGATAGAGAATATGGCAATCTATGAGCTTTAGCAAAAAGACATGAAGAACAAGGAACATTTATTTCATTATCATTGTAAGAAATATTACAATCATTTAAAGCCCTGATTACAATGTCCTTGGCTGAATGTCCTAATCTTTTGTGCCAAGTTTCTAAATCAAACTTATTGAAAATAAAAGCAACATTTGAATTAGGATGTTCATTCTTGGAAAAGAAAACAGCATGAGCACTAAGTTGAGTGTTGTTGTGGCTGTGGATGGAAGAATTGGCTTTTTCTGACTGGTTGTGAGTATTGAACTGATAGAGGCCCTCCTTAAGAACTCCCTTGAGTAGAATTTGAAGTGAAGCTCGGTCCTAATAATTAGCGTGAAATTCAAAAAAGACATCATTATCTTTGGCAAACTTGGAAACACTGAGTAAGTTCTTAGTTATGGAATGGACATGAAGGAGTTTCTTCAAAATAAGGTTTTATTAGAATGAGGATATTTAAAACGAGTACTGCCAATATGATAAATAAACTCACCAACACCATTACCCATGTGAAGCCTATTTGGTCCTTGATATTCAGAGGCACTTGACAGATTGTTGAGATCATTGGAAATGTGGTTTGTGGCTCCTGAATCAGGATACCAGAGAGAATCCACATTGCTTTCAGTATGAATACTTGGTGTTAAGGGAAGTTGAGAAAGATGCAAGGCATGAGTTCTTTGAAAACCACCATAAGAGTTGAACTGAGTCTGTTGAGAGGAGTCTGAACTGGGTTGCTGTTGTTGTTGAGTAGGTGTGTAGGTAGAGTCATACCTATACCAACATTTATCTGCTGTATGACCTGCTACCCAACAGACTTAACAAATAGGTCTCTCACCTTGAGCACGACCACCTCTTTCTCTTCCTATAAATCTGCCTCTTCCCCAATTAAAGGGACCACCTCTTCCTCTATTGTTGTTCTGAGTTGATGAGTTGATTCTTGGGTTTCCTTGAAAAGCAGTGTTAAGAGATGGCTGGGAACCATCTGGATTTATTGATCCAATAGTCTGATTTGCAGCTTCAAGTCTGGCTTCATAGCTAAGAAGAAGTGCTTGAACATCTATGAGACTCCAAGTCTCAATCCTTGTTGTGATTGTGATCATGACTGGATCATACTCAGTCCCTAGAGCAGAGATAACATGAAGGATTTGATCTTTGTCTGAGATTCCAGCACCAATAGAAGTCAACATGTCAAAACAACCTTTCATTTTGTTCAAGAACTCTCTCATGGTAAGATTTCCGTTATTCATAGTTTGCAGCTGGAGTTTATATTGCATCAGTTTGGCTAAAGATTGGCTACTAAAGTTGGTTGACAAAGCATACCAGATCTCCTTTGAGGTTTGAAGTCCCACCATTTGGACCAACAGTGTTTCTGACAAGGATGAGAGCAGCCAAGATGCCAAAATCTGATGGTACAAGGTGAAATCTGGGTTTAAAACTTCAACTCCTCCTTCTTGAATGAACTGAGCTAGTTGTTGTTCTTCTAAGATGAAATGCTCCAATCCATATCTTCTGATGGTAATCATAGTTTGCTGCTTCCAGATGAGATAGTTACTCATCAAGGTTGATAGTGAGCAGCTGGCTCTGAGGATAAACGATTTGGTGTTGAGAAGAGGGATTTGTTTGGCTGCCTCCTCCTGACAAGGTTGTTTCCGATTGAGACAATAAAGACTTAATAAAAAAAGAGGATCAAAGAAAAGAGAAAAAGGTGTAGAGACAGGATTAACTTGCTCTGATACCATGAAAAGAAAATGGATCAAACAAAATGCCATAATGAAGAAATGAAGAAGCCATTAATGAGGCTGTGATATTTACTGAAAACGTAGGTTACAGAAACTGGGATCTCATGAGATTATATAGCTCCAAACCCTAAATGTATAACATCTACCCAGTACAATGTGTTGGGACAATCATCACCCTTGATCACAATCAACATAAGACAAAAGCTAACAAATTGAAAAGATGCTGCAGATGAGTCTTGGCGCCTAAGCCTTGAGTGGGCCATGCATGCAGATCACGTACTTGCTTGATGAGGAGCATGCGAGTCTTGTTCTTCATTATTTCTAACAGTGCGCTGGTTCTCACGTCAAAGTTCAAACAGTGATATCAGAGCACTGGGTCGATGTTCATAGCTATTTAATTTAAATTAGATTTTTATTTGTGGACCAAAATATGTGCTAATGAGTGTTTTAGTTCAATTTATAAAATTGTTTAACCATAATTAAACGAAAAAAAAAAAAGAATACATTTGGAATTTGTTCGATATATCCCGATTGCATACAGACTATTCTGGGAGTTGAAACCCATTCTCGCTATTCTCACTACCGTCGAACTCATCATTGGTCTTATGTTGCGCGTTACTTGACCTTCACGCAACTACAGAAAATCGTCATCACTGAGGCTGGCCGCCGTAGCCGCTGGGCGGCTGCAATAATAAAAAAAATTCAGCCTACGTGACGGGCTGCCACTCGTTGAGGGTTCATACACCTCAGTCATTCGTGCAATTAGGCTAGCGTCAGTGGCTCTAGGGATCTTTGGTCACCAGTGTCTTACGAGACCTATGGTCGCCTCTTCTGCTCGGTTGTTGTGGTTTTATAAAAACAAATTTGATAATACTAATTTGATAACCTTGACGTTGTTTGACCGACCACGGGAGGTCGTCGACGGGTTCACGTGGTTCTGGAAATCCACGCCTAGGTGGAGGTCATGTGAAAGAGGTGGGTGGATGAACATGAGACTCAAATAGAATTTGGGTTTGCAGTGGCTCGTTTTTAAAACATTGATAAGTCTTAAGGATTATTTTTCAAATTTGAAAGTTTTAGTTAATTGCAACTTAGACCTGGAGTAAATCTGGAAATTTTAATATAGTTGTCACAATTCATTATCTGTTCAATTAAATTAAAATAATAATGAAAATAATTGAATATACAAAGTCCATGTAAAAAAATTAAAATCACAACTACATGTATATATATATATGAAACATGTATTCGGTGCACTTCAGTAATTTTTGTTGCGGTTCTAGGCTCTTGAGGATTTGATCCCAGAGTCGGTTTTCTCTCAACATTTATAAGTGTGAAGCTAACAAGTAGTTTATGTTTGAATTCAATTTATGCTAATTAGTGTACAGAGTACTGGAGGGTAATATATATAATTATAAAGAATATGAAATAACATGAAAAGCAAGCAAATAAATGTATAGTAGCTAGTATGAGGAAAGTAGAGCAGTGTAGAAAAGTTGGTTCCAAGTGTCGGGCAATCCTGGAAGACACCAATGGCTGCAGTCGAGATTGTTTGATGTCCCACCATAGAATGAGGGGTGGGCATCCCTCCTTATGGCCGATAACATGGTAATGTTGAGCAAAAACGGACGCTTTTTCATGGAAATCAACACCTCATGCAACGCCTTCATTTGATCTGGATATGTCACAGTGTCGCTCGACTTTTTGCCCAAAAGCTTAGCCACCCCATTACATCTATTGGAATATTGGATGGATGGATTGTCACAACACGCACAAAAGAAAATTCATGTACAAGAGCTAGCTAGCCAGGTTAATTAACTTGGTTTTGTTTTTCTTTATGCATTTTACATATTGTATTTGATATATATATATATATATATATATATGTATATATATTATAGGAAATGTGAAAGAAGGAGAAGATATGTATATATATACCTGCTATGCGTAGGGGAGATGCCCAGAAAAAACACTTTGCGGTTGGTGGTGTCGATGTGTTTGTCGACCCAACGAGCCCAGGTTTTCAATCCTTTAATAAGAGCCATTGATGGATCCATATTTCCGTATGTACCTTCATGTGTCTCAATGTAATCCCACCTGCATGCCAGGTTTTTTATTTTTAATTAATTCTACTTAATTAATAATTAATAACTTAATTGTGAAAGAAAAACAAAAGAAAGAAAAAACTTTGATTCAACAAATCAGGAGTACGGCGGCCATTAGTTCTCTCCCTGCTTCTTCATTCATCTACCATTTTGACTTGTTATAATACCATTCCTCAAATTAAACGGGTTTAATTGAAGGTAGAAAAATAAAAACTATAGTTTATTGCAACTCATTTCACCTCTAGCACTATTCTGGTAAAAAAGTTTTACTACAAAGTTATAGAGAGGTTATATTTTTTAAATGCATACACAATGCGTGATTGAATATAGTTTTCTTTTTTTTAACAACTAATTCCATAACTATGAATTTATTTTCTCACCATCATATCTACTGTTAATATTTTGTTCGGTTGTTACAAGTTGGTTATATTGTTTGTTTCAGTAACGTTCTCCTACCTAGCTACTGTGGACACATGTTAACATGTTCATCGTTTATGTGGCATGTATATATTAATGATATATTCTTTTGAACATATTAATATCACCAATGTGTGCATATTGTCACATAAGCAGTAGACATATTAACATGTATCCACCGTGAATAGGGAACATTATTCTTGTGTTAGATTATATGTGGTTGTACACTATTCCATCAATCATATCATATAGTATTCAAACTCTAAACTATATAATGGAAAATAGTTATAAACGACAAAAAAAAAAAAAAAAA